AGACAAACACCTTGATAAAGACATATACACCCCTGCCCCCTTACATCGTAAAGACAAACACCTTGATAAAGACATATACACCCCTGCCCCCTTACATCGTAAAGACAAACACCTTGATAAAGACATATACACCCCTGCCCCCTTACATCGTAAAGACAAACACCTTGATAAAGACATATACACCCCTGCCCCCTTACATCATAAAGACAAACACCTTGATAAAGACATATACACCCCTGCCCCCTTTCATTGTAAAGACAAACCCTTTGATCAAGACACGGAATTTATCTCACACTTGTTACATTAGAAGTGGACTAAAATAAAGCTACATTCAACATATCAGTATCTGTGACTCAAAGTATAAGTTGAACAAACTGTATAGCTCCTCATTCTAGCCTCCAACTTGCCAATAACCTAGAAAACGTTTGCGTGACATAAATGGGGCAAATGGCCCTGTGGTTGATCTAATTAGGACCCTGAAATACTGACACATCTGAGGTACTCTCATACTTGACCTTTGATGAAATTGGTTAAGAAATGAAGTTATTAGGGGCAATGGATGGAGATGACAGTGGTTGGGCATAACAACTTTAATCTGTACAAAAACTCATACTTGACCTTTGATGAAATTGGTTAAGAAATGAAGTTATTAGGGACAATGAATGGAGATGACAGTGGTTGGGCATAACAACCTGTACAAAAACTTCTAACTAACGATGTATGGCCAATTTTCACTCATTTTTTGTATCTTTTTACCAGCAAACGAGTTTTTCTCGTAGCTTTGAGGCATCCTGATGCAGGGCCATATTTAACATTTTATTTTTAAGGACTTTATATTGAGGTGTTGCTATTAAGTACTTTTCAAAAATTTACAGTGATTTTTCATTACAGGGAATGCAGTGGTAGCTACAAAGAAATTTTATCTTTCCAAATATTCACAGAGCTAAAACATTTTTATTGGGGACTTCAAATTATTAATTTCATTCTGCAGATTAAAATCAGCATCTTCAAACACACTTCAAATCAATCACGATCTTTTTTAAAACACTGCAATGTTTGAATATTTCATAAAGTTATATGTGAAAATAACTTGTAACACAAAAACCAAGTGTGGCCCCTCACATCTTTCTAGGAAGTTAGCGTTGATAAATAACTTTCATCAAACAGGTGACTTTGGTTACAAAATACAATTATTGATGTAAAAATAATTAGGCTAATTAGCACAACCAGTAAATAACAGAAAATTCTGCCTTTGACATTTCAACTGATCAGATTTATTTAAATAGCTGGACCAGGCATCTCTAATACAAGTCTATTTACCAAACCTCTAAAACCCTAGAAAATGTGTGAGGTCGCGGGTGTACACTCCAGCAGTGTGTTGAGCGGCTCACATGAACACAACTTGCCTATTTCTGGCTGGATCGTCAGGTCGTGCTAGTGGACTGGCTTGTGTCCACCTATCAGCGGGAATAGTTTTTGAGTCAGTGCGTTGACTGGCACTGTCTCGCCCTCCTTTCGTGGCTGCACTATGCCAGGGACCGTTACTATTAGAGGCAGAACTGAACCACGAGACAGAAATGGAAAGAAAAACAAAATAATTTTTAACATCGACAACAAACAACATTGACTTGCAAAAGGACAGGATTACAGATAACACGTAACAACATCACAATGATGGAGATATATTGTTTATATGCCATAATTTTATTGCTTTAAATATTCTGCAACCAATATAGGGCATTCTCTTTTGTATAGTGCAACAAAAGAAAATTAAAAATGTTTGACATAGATCTGGCAGACAGCAGGGGAGTGTGAGAAGCGGAGGAAGGATGCTCGGTGGAGAGGTAACAGTTACTGGCCAGACCGAGTCAGGTCCAGTTTAACTTCACAAGGAGGTGTACAGTAGTAGCAGGTGGAAGGTATAAACCGGCATTAGATGGCTCCCCTTGGTTATATAAGTATTTAGGTTAATGTGAGTAAAATGACAAGGAAAAAGACATTTCAAACAATCCTCAACATGGGGACCACCACACTGGGGTTTTCTTGGTAGTTCACCATTTTAATCACAGTACGTTTGTTTTAGTGTTATACACACAAGAAAAGTAGTCTTTCAGTGAGTGCTGTGACAGACTGTGATGGTGTACCAGACATAGGTATCTTGGTTACAGGAAGAGTGACAAGAAGACACAACAATTATAACAACAGCTATCTATTAAATGTACTGAAAGTATGCAAACAAAATGTAAACAAAATAAAACAAACAAATTAAAACTCAGCAATAATCACTAAATAATGCATACACTATAGAAAAGAATATGAAAAGATGCAAAACTGTTCTACTTCAGTTGGTAACATATGGACCATTCCATCACTCCTGTAGGTAGGGTAAGAGGGACAGGGACAGTCCATATCCACCTTACCTACATATTAATGAACTCTTTTTCTCCCACCTTTACCTGGGATTTTGGTAAAAATTGACAATGCAAATATGAAAATATTTTGTAGGTTTTCTAGATTTTGTACAAATTAATTAAAAACTTGTAGTAGTGGAAAAAGAGTATTTATACCAAATACATAAAATTAAAACAGTTTCACAGAAGATTTGTGCAGAACTGAGGCAATCAATCATGTCGACTGTATATTGGCATAGATGATCCTCCACTGATCAAAAGAACAATTTACTGATGTCATATTCAGAACATTAACATGATACTGCACATTTCAACCTTGTATTGCTTTCATGCACTTCATGCTTGGGATTTAGAAAATGTAGTTTCCAAAAAGGTACCCAAGAGCACCTGGTGTGTGATCAATACAATCTATCACGTTTTTGGGGGACGTCGAACGAGAAATCTCAAACCAACACCAACGTTAAGATTGTTCAGGTTCACCACGAGGCTTTATGCACCCATCAAAATTGATGACCTGATCCCAATAAGTGGTTCAGACGCAATCCCATTGTGTGGTGGTGACATTTTCAGAATAAAGGTAAGTGTGAGTCGTCTTTTCCTAATTAGATGAAGTTATATTTTTCTCTGAACCTGGACAGATGTATCCACATATTTTTTGGTGCAACATATCCTTGCCTAACCCTAGGGTGGAGACGGGGGATTACCTAGTCAAAACAATTGCATGAAATCATGTCAACAAGACAATAACATATCAACAAGGTAGTTAGTTTGGTTTTACAGGGTTTAACGTCCTATCAACAGCCAAGGGGATCTAAGGACGGGCCTCCGCGTGTGTAATGTATGCATGCGTGTCTGTATGTGTGCTGGAGACAGAGCATGTTGGTGTAATGTCACGTCAACAGGTAAGAGAAAAAGAATCTTTCATTACAATTGAGATGGGCAATCTCGACCCCAAGTGGAAAACAATGCCATTAATCTTTCTTCTAGCAAAAAAACAGGAATGCATCTGTAAAGTGTGATAGAAAAGTATTCAACCTAAGTAGAAGTGAGAGATATATAGGTAATAGATAATACAACAAGTTTGTTATGTCCTCTCCTTACTAGACACCTCCTGCAGGCAGTACAGGTACCTGGTGTGACCGTGGTACATTGAAATGCCACACACAACCTAAGTAGAAGTGAGAGATATATAGGTAATAGATAATACAACAAGTTTGTTATGTCCTTTCCTTGCTAGACACCTCCTGCAGGCAGTACAGGTACCTGGTGTGACAGTGGTACATTGAAATGCCACTCACAAATGCATTTGTTATTTATTTCCCCCAGAATGACCTTTGTTATTCTCTAGTTACTTAAAACAGGTAAAACCATTAGACTGAACTAAAATATCAATCCACATTATTACTTGAACCAGAAACTTTCACTTGACAATTCAGGAGTTTGCTTTTTCTGTCTCTGTCTCAGCCCTCCTCTAATGTAATTTAGAAAATCAAAAGTACTTTTCAGTATGCAATACCTTTTCACCGATTTCAGCTTTTTCAAGTATCACTTAATTTTGCTAACTAAGACATGCATTATAAGAAGAAAAAATCAACGTCTGTTGCAGACTCTTGTTCTTTCACTAGAAATTATGATTGGTTACAGAGAACATTCCACACTAAAGATGACATGAGTTAGTTACCACAGCCCAAACAATTCAGACAAGTAGCCTTACTTTTTGTGGTCTTTACTAGCCCAGTGGTCCCCACTGTTGTGCATTGGTTTCTGCGAGTGCTCCTTTTTGATGTGGTCAGCATGGTCTAATTGTCGCTTGTGACTAGATTTGTCGTGGGACGTTGAGGAGTGGTGGTGTCTCTCCTGGGAATGAGGTTCGATCTAGAATTACAAAACATTCCTCTATAACAATCTGGTAAGGGCTGCTCCAGAATTAACTCTGATAACTTTGATGAAAAGAATTATCTGTATTTATTGTAGGGGGGTTCACAAAACAATACAAATTATCAAAACAAAGAAAGGACGGCACACCCCAATCGACTTACTTCTTCCTTCTCCTTGTCCTCCTCACGTTTTCTGTAGGCCCGTTTATAAAGTTTATGTAGTTTTTGATCGTCAAATTCAGTGAACTTCGACACAAATATCCATAGATGACTGAAAAAAAAACAAAAAACACTGAGATATTGCTCAAAGTGAAAGTTACAATCTTTACAAACAACTTGTTTCCTGGACAGAGACATCATTAAGAATAATAAAAAAAAAGTCAACTTACCAAATATTACCGATATATCTTCTTACCTTTACAAGACAGCAGGTGTTAAACCAGTTCATTTTGGTTAACGTTAAATCAAAGGAAAATAATAAAACAAGAGATCCTAGAGGGATCTTGGCGCCCATCATTGTACCATCTTCATTTGTTCCATGTCAGTTGGATATTTCTCTTCTTTTCTCTGATCTGTTTGACTGTCCGCCAACTTGTTAAGTTTTAAGATCAGTCTCAAAAGTTTAGGACCAAGGGAACCCTACATATCAAATTTGAGAAAGATTCCTCCAGTACTTTCCGAGAACTAGTGCTAACAAACTTTAACTCTCAAAATTCAAGATGGCTGTCTGTCGACCATATTGGTTTTCCCCTCATTCCCAATTATTTGTATGCGTAACTAAGGACAATGGAGAACCTCCACTGGCTAACAAACTTTAAATCTCAAATTCAAGATGGCTGCCTGTCGGCCATTTTTTATCAAATCTATGATGCTACAATTTTTGGGAGTAGTATGGGGATCTTATGAAGATAGTTGTTATTATAAGGAGGTTCATTTCATACATGCGTAAGTTTTTTTTCATGAAATCCTAGACCTAAAGAATTCTCAGAGCCATACCTTCTCCACTGTTTGATGATGTCTGGATCATTATACTCCGCCAGACATTCGTTGATACGGTCGCCAATCTTGAGTAGACAATGCTTAGTGTGCACAACTTGCTCCTTCTCTGTGAGCCCTTCGTCTGGATTGTCCAGTCGCTTCAGTGCTCGCTTTACAGGCCGCATCCTCTCCTTACACTACAACACACAGGAAAACAGTCACAACACACATACACTTAACACAAAACACAGAAAAACAGTCGCTACAACACACAGGAAAACAGTCATAACAACACACAGAAAAACAGTCACTACAACACACAGGAAAACAGTCGCTACAACACACAGGAAAACAGTCACAACAACACACAGGAAAACAGTCACAACAACACACAGGAAAACAGTCGCTACAACACACAGGAAAACAGTCACAACTCACATACACTCAACACAAAACACAGAAAAACAGTCGCTACAACATACAGGAAAACACTTAACACAACAAACAGAAATACAATCACTACAACACACAGGAAAACAGTCACAACAACACTCAGAAAAACAGTCACAACTCGCATACACTCAACACAAAACACAGAAATACAGTCACTACAACATACAGGAAAACACTTAACACAACAAACAGAAATACAATCACTACAACACACAGGAAAACAGTCACAACAACACTCAGAAAAACAGTCACAACTCGCATACACTCAACACAAAACACAGAAATACAGTCACTACAACATACAGGAATATATTAAAAAAGAATTGTGTTAAATTTTGTTACTGTTGGAAATACAGACAGCTTTGTTTTCATTGTTGAGCAGTTTTATTTATATGTTACTAAAATCTTAAACTGTATCATCTACTTTTTGCGACATTAGCAGAGCTCGAATACCATGTATTCCTCAACTACTAATCTGGATCACGAATTAGAGTGAGCAGGTTTTATTGTACATGTTCTGTGGCACTCACCTTAGCAAACACGTTAGACGGTAACTCGGCACCAAACTCCACCTCCATGGATATCGCCACTGGTTCCTTCTCCGCAGTGATATGTACTGGACCCGATTTGTTCTTTTTGCTTTTTGTCTTTGCTCCCTTCAAATTTGAAGAAGATTGTTAATACTATACAAAGCTGAACATTGCATACGGTATGTTCTTAGCTTCTATATTAATGTTTTGTTCTGATTGGCTGCAGTATTATTGGAGTGACATCATTTCCCACCTGAGGATTGTGTGAATTTATAACTTTTGTGATGAATCGGAAAATTCAAATCCCCTAATTTGACACCAACATTAACATCAAAATAACACTTGTTGCGATAGAAACACTTCTTTGGTAGACACAGAAAAGAACATGATTCGCCTGTGCCCCGCTTTGACCATCAATGTACATATCAGAGAAACTAATTTAAATGCAAAAACTTAATGTTGATGTAGATTCTGACCAAGGCAATGGACCATGAAAGGAAGGCCACATCCAGCATTTGATGCACGGGCTGAGATGTACTACCTAAGTTGAATCTATGATCCGGAAAAGCAACACCTTAGTCTCGCTTCCGCTACCTCGTCGCAGCGAGACAAAAAATGGTAAAAATGTCAAGAATTTTTATCACACATTGAATATTCAACTTCATTTTTTTTCTTCATCTCATGGCAGTTACTCTTCATTGGGGATACAACACAGATTGCTGAATCTCTACCTTATTTTCATTTAATTTATTAAATGAATTACATGGAAATTTTCTCCTCAGCATGGTCTTTTGAAATAAAATGTTGCCATGGCCATCTCAAAGCACCCACAATATCCAGGTGTTACGCTCACTTTCGCTCTCTGCACCTGACATATTCCAGGGGTGTAGAGAGCGAAAGTGAGCGTAACTCCTGGATATTGAGGATGATCTCAAAGCTTAGTCATGGTTCCACAACTTCAACGTAATCTGTACAAATACCCACCTTCTTTTTCTTGTTTTCTCTATGAAAGTCGACAGAATCTTTGGTGTCCTCATCGTCAGCCATGTGGGACTTTGCCTCCTTTTCACTCGTGTCTTTCTTCTTTCTTTTCTTAACTGGACTTTCTGGAAGACTGTCTAGGGTGGTTTCTTCTTTCATGGCATGATGCTGGCCAGTGTCAGAATCTGATAATAAGTCTTTTTCTGACACTTCGGCTTTAGATAAAACTGGTTTTCTTTTCCTTTTTGTTTTGGTAGCTGGAGTCTAAAAAGGAAACCAAACCATTATTTGAAAAGCTTTGAATGCCATTTAACGAATTCTACTCCCACTGTTTAACTGTCCTGGTCCTTACTGTCTCTGGTCGAATACTTGTCTGATTTATACCAGTAGTGTTTATCTCTACTCAACACTTTTTTTTTTTTTTTTACATTTTGTAAAATTATTCAAAACATCATGGAAACATTTTCTATATCCTCAAAAAAATACAACAAATAAAACAAGAAAAACAAAAACCCTGCTTACGATGCCATGCTTCTCTATGTCAAATTGTCGTTTGAGCACTTTAAGGAGGTATTCAGCTCGTGTCTGTAAATGCTTGGCCTGTGGTTTAAGGTCTCCACCATCCGGCAGTATCTATAATTATAATCAACAGTGTAAATTAAGTTTTACCCCAGCGTCTGATGGAGGAATGCTAGGGTTGGGAGCCTTGGTTCATCCCCCTCACAACAGGTTGTCTAATATAGGAGGTCACTTGGTTCATTTCTTCAGATCATGACCTGTCGGGGTCAGGGGATGCTGAACTGTATTTCATGCCCATTTGCACCTGACAATGATTTGATATGATAATACACTGTATCCATGTTATTTGTCAGTCCCAGATCAGGCTTTTGAGCTGGGCACTTAACCCTTGAGGACTAATACAAGATTTAACACTGATTGGTGTTGATTATTTGTATCCAAGAGACTTTGAGGGTAGCAATGTACTACAGTCATAATGACCTATCAACACAATTAAGTTACACAGAGCCACTTTCACACAGGAAATGGATAAAAGGTAGGTGTGGCAGGTCTATTAATTCCCTGGACCTTCACAAAGGCCAATATCCAAACTCTTCTCTCAAGCCTACATATTGTGAACACTGCCAGGTCAGTGTACCTTGTCATGTAAGTTGAGGCCAGGGTCCATCTTGATAGCCTCCCAGCTGCCCATGCCATACTCATAGATTCCCTTGAGTAGGTTGCTGTCCTCCTCAATGTCCCATGGACAGTCCCAATGAACGGCCTTCACATGGGCAGTCAGACGGTATCTACAAACAATCAAATACTTTATTTTTCCTTCGTTCAAAAGCAGTAAAGGTTTGAACATAGGTATTATAGTAGAAATGCTTCATGAAGGGTATACCAGTCTATTTGTAGAGTAAAATCTGTCAAAACTCCCAGCAAGATTCCGACATATCAGTAATCTGCACTGAACCTACAAGCACTATTAAAACATTATATTCCAGTCTACTTACCTGCTCTTTGCCTCCTTGTTGGAAGGTATAGAAACAGCTAAAGGTTCCAACTCTTGTTCTGCCTTCAGCAAGGACTGGGCGTTGACAGTCACACTGGAAATTTTCAATGTTGGACCCCTGTGTGTCTTCTTACCAGCTGAAAGTCCAACATGTTTGAACAGTGGAGTTGATATAATTTTGTTGACAGAACACTGATTTTGGAATGCACCATTGTTGTTTTATTACGCAAACAAATCATTTTTAAAGAAGTTTCGTGTCATTTCAACATTTAAGATCATGATATATGATGAAGAAAATGATCCTTTAACCCTTTCACCCCTATGTAACTTAAGTAGACTCTACCATGCATTGATCTGGATGAGTCCATTAAGGACCAGAGTGGTGAAAGGGTTAAGTGTATAAAACCAATTTTCCTGTACTAATCATTATTTATAGAACTTGGTTATGCAGACTGAATGTCTGCAAGGATCAAGCTGCTAACAATTTTACTCCAAGTGTGGTTCATACTTAAAATTGGGTCGCCCTCTAGCTTGGTCTTGTGTTCCTCCATGGCCACCTCACAGTTGTGCTTTAGTGTTTCAGCTAGGCGTTTCAGGTCAGCCTCAGACTTCTCCTGGAGTTCTGCATCACATGCTACCGAGTCCAGTCTAATAACAAAATACACAAAATCCCTCTTTATGAAAATTCTACAACTTACTCATTTGCATAACTAGCATTTTAAAACACATTTGTATCCAGAAAATGCTATATAAAGAATCCGTTAGTTCAAAAGATCCTTGAGAAGTGTTGAAGTGGTTGTTTCCATCTAAAGTAAAAAGCTCCTTCATGATATCCATATCATAGTTCCATAGCAACATGGCCAAATTACCCAAAATCCCCATCACCTGAGAATGCTTCTAACCAAATGTAGCTGATATCCGATCTCATAGTTCCTGAGTTGCCTCGTTACCTTTTAGGTACCTGCCCTACCATCTTTGGATGCCTAAAGTCAAATTTGTTGAAGTTCCATTCTATAGATCGGAAGTGATTATTGACAGAAGGACACCAAAGTATGACATAAGCTTAGCTAACGTGAACCCTTTGAACCAACAAATGAGTCATTAATTTTCCCATTATTTTTATTCTACAGCAACATCGTGATGGCCTTCTGCTGTCAGAAAGAAGATGACCTGATTTTTTTTACCTGGTCATAGGATGGCCGAACTTCTTGAAGCTTTTGATGAACCTTCTGATCTCCGAGTCGGTGAAACCCTTTACACTCTCTTTGGCAATGGTTCTCGGACGACCTCTTCTTTTAGGTCGGTCCTCCTCTTCATCATCACTAGAATCAGACTCATCAGCATCGTTTTTCTTTTTTCTTCTATTCTTGTTTTCATCAGAATCATATTCTTGCTGGAGCTAGAACAAAAACAGGTAATTTTCACTAGTTATAACTTAATGACTGTAGAGATATATAGTTTTGCAATCAAATACCGACTTTGAAGATTTTGTATAGGAATGATGCCTACCTGTTGTATAGTTTTGTACAGTAATGATGCCTACCTGTTGTATAGTTTTGTACAGTGATGATGCCTACCTGTTGTATAGTTTTGTACAGTGATGATGCCTACCTGTTGTA